ACACATTTTACTTATTTTAGACCACCCACTTGTTTAAGAATAAAGCTCAGATCAACCTCATCTACTCAACCAGTTCACGTTTTCAGGCACACGAGTTTCAATATTTGACTTGATGCTTGTCTTATTGCTGGAAACACCGAGTAGCACTTTCAGCTTCGAGTATTAGGAAGATCTTCAGATGTGTCTTATGAAAATTTGAAGCAGTGGAGAAATATGTTTCAAAACAGTAAACCGTAAGTGTCTATATTTAAATCACTCTTCCCTAAAACCCATGTTGCCGAGATGAGTAATAAACAGCACCGACAATTGACAATAATCTTCCGGGAGTAATTGCGCTCAATAAAACAGGTTCTTATCAAACGTCGCACCATTATTATGAATGGTACCATCATGCGTTAAAGAAGCACTAACATACGTCACATCGAGAAGGTTCTTGCTCCAACTCAGTGAGTAAGAACATTTGCCAAATTTCTAATCTACACGTGCAACATGGAATGATTTATATTGAGATGAAGCATAACAAGTAGGATGTCGCATTCCATTGAGGTCAAGTGGCTTTGGTAACTGTTTTAACACGAATGTCGCAGCCAATAATAGAATTGTTGGAATCATCGTTATCGTGGGTTGACAGGCTTATAATTATTTTTGCAATGGCGCATCTAGTAAACTCTCGCTTTTAATTTGCTTCACTAGGAAGTTCGCTCTAGTGACTATGTAGGTTAAGCAGGAATAGCCGAACGATTTCTTGTTCATGCTCTGAAGCTCTTGTACTACACGGCAAGCCATAATTAATTTAATTAATAATTAAGTAACTAAATAAATCATTTATTTTAAAGGGTAGTAATAAATGCAATTTATAAATAAATTCGTAAATCAACAATTAAACATTTATATTCATATCAAAATTAAATAGAAACAAACTAACGTTTATTTTCACTGTTTGCAAATCCTGTTACAATTACAGTTTAAATTTTTCTAGATATAATGTGCCGGATGGTATCATGAACTTGATGTTCTCCCATAGAACTTGAACGGTGCTTATGAACAGCCTACATTGTTGGGTAATTCAGATAACCATTTCGTCTTGGGTTTATTCGAACTTTTACGAACTGAGGCAATTTAAAATAGAAACCAATAAAAGCAGTTCATAATGAAATGTTGCCTGGAACAGATGTGTATGGAGGGCAATAAAAGCTAGCTAAAATGCAGTTAGTAGTTTCGCCAGGCTATAGATACGAAGTGTTTTGAGTAACGGTGGATATGAAACTCACAACTAATTCACTAAGGCTGCGATTCAAGCGAGGCGATTCCAAGGTAATCCTTATGGGAAATCATATTTCTTTGGGAAGGGAAAAATGGTTTTCAAGAGTGAACATTTGCTGTCGAGGGGTCATGCATCTCCTCACCCTTTCATCAAGTTTTTCCTAGCTCTAAAGCATTCCTTGCCACAGAATGTTACACTCCTTCCCTCTTAGACAGTGTGTAAAAATAAACCATTTTTCGTTAGATTCGTCTGTTCATCCTTCCACTAAAGCTTGACGATCTGGAGATCCATTAGGTCATATAGAATTTTGTATCTTTCTGATGGCCAGGACCTATTGGAGCGACTGTAAGGGGACTGTGTATTGAGGTTAAACATGATGCTGAAATCTCGACACCGATCCTAGACAGACATTAAAAACACATCATCAGCAAACATATCAGCAGAACACAACAAATGAATGAATGAATGAATGAATGAATGAATGAATGAATGAATGAATGAATGAATGAGTGAATGAATGAGTGAATGAATGAATGAATGAATGAATGAATGAATGAATGAATGAATGAATGAATGAATGAATGAATGAATGAATGAATGAATGAATGAATGAATGAATGAATGAATGAATGAATGAATGAATGAATGAATGAATGAATGAATGAATGAATGAATGAATGAATGAATGAATGAATGAATGAATGAATGAATGAATGAATGAATGAATGAATGAATGAATGAATGAATGAATGAATGAATGAATGAATGAATGAGTGAATGAATGAATGAATGAATGAATGAATGAATGAATGAATGAATGAATGAATGAATGAATGAATGAATGAATGAATGAATGAATGAATGAATGAATGAATGAATGAATGAATGAATGAATGAATGAATGAATGAATGAATGAATGAATGAATGAATGAATGAATGAATGAATGAATGAATGAATGAATGAGTGAATGAATGAATGAATGAATGAATGAATGAATGAATGAATGAATGAATGAATGAATGAATGAATGAATGAATGAATGAATGAATGAATTAATGAATGAATGAATGAATGAATGAATGAATGAATGAATGAATGAATGAATGAATGAATGAATGAATGAATGAATGAATGAATGAATGAATTAATGAATGAATGAATGAATGAATGAATGAATGAATGAATGAATGAATGAATTAATGAATGAATGAATGAATGAATGAATGAATGAATGAATGAATGAATGAATGAATGAATGAATGAATGAATGAATGAATGAATGAATGAATGAATGAATGAATGAATGAATGAATGAATGAATGAATGAATGAATGAATGAATGAATGAATGAATGAATGAATGAATGAATGAATGAATGAATGAATGAATGAATGAATGAATGAATGAATGAATGAATGAATGAATGAATGAATGAATGAATGAATGAATGAATGAATGAATGAATGAATGAATGAATGAATGAATGAATGAATGAATGAATGAATGAATGAATGAATGAATGAATGAATGAATGAATGAATGAATGAATGAATGAATGAATGAATGAATGAATGAATGAATGAATGAATGAATGAATGAATGAATGAATGAATTAATTTATTAATTTATTAATGATCCGAGGTGTAGCTAACCGCCATAAATGAGCATATGAAAAAATTATATCAATTTATGTGAAAATGGACCCATCTCAATATCTTACCATTTTCTGAAAATTTTGAAATTAGTGTGGAGCGCAGTGCCAGATTTAGGACCAAAGCGGGGGCGACCCCGGCTTAATGCATAACATCCATTAAACAACACACGCCAAAGTCACGAGTTCAAATCTCACCCCCGGAAAAGTCACGAATGACCCAAGAGTGTTAAAAAGAGATGAACTAGCCTATGGCTAAAAATCTCTATAAGAAAAAAAAAAAAACCAAGAGTGTTAAAGTGACTATAAAAATAATAAAAAAAAAGGATCCGGAGGGCACAAGGTTGGTTTCCATACACAAGAATTTAAAAAATCAACAAATCAATTAATCAAGAATTAAAAATCAACTAATCAATTAATCAATTAATCAATTATTCCATAATCAATAAATCAATAAATCAATAAATCAATAAATCAATAAATCAATTAAATCAAGCAAATAAATAATTCTTTAAATCAATGTGTCAATAAATCAATAAATCAATTAATCAAGAATTAAAAATCAACTAATCAATTAATCAATTAATCAATTATTCCATAATCAATAAATCAATAAATCAATAAATCAATAAATCAATTAAATCAAGCAAATAAATAATTCTTTAAATCAATGTGTCAATAAATCAATAAATCAATGAATCAATAAATCGATAGGTCATAAAATTTATCAATCAATTATTTTCTACATCAATTAATCAATAAATCAATAAATCAATCAATCAATCAATCAATCAATAAATCAATAGATCATAAAATGTATAAATCAATAATTAAATAAATCGATAAATCAATAAATAAGTGAATCTGTAAAATCAACACATCAATAAATCATTAAATCATTAATATATTTATTAATAAATAACTAAATCATTAAATCAATAAATCAATAAATCAATAAATAAATAAATCAATAAATCAATAAATCAATAAATCAATAAATAAATAAAGCAATAAATCAGTATATCAATACATCAAACAAAAATTAAATAAATAAATAAATCAAAAAATCAAAAATTGAAAAAAAAAACAAATCAATAAATCAAGAATTTAAAAACCAACCAATCAATAAATCAATAAATCAGTAATTCCATATTCAATAAATCAATATATCAATAAATTAATTTAAATAAAAGAAATCGATAATTAAATATATCAATAAATCAATAAATCAATAAATCAATGAATCAATAAATCAATAAATCAATGAATCAAGAAATCAATAAATCAATAAATCAATAGATCATAAAATTAATCAATCAATTATTTAAAAAATCAATAAATCAAGAAATCAATAAATCAGTAAATCAATAAATCAATAAAGCAATAAATCAATTGATCGTCAAATTTATAAATCAATAATTAAATTAATCGATAACTCAATAAATAAATGAATCTTTAAAAATCAGCAAATCAATAAATCAATAATTCAATTAATCATTAATCATTAAATCAATAAATCAATATATCCACAAATCAATAAATCAATAAATCAATAAATCAATAAATCAATAAATCAATAAATCAATAAATCAATAAATCAATAAATCAATAAATCAATAAATCAATAAATCAATAAATCAATAAATCAATAAATCAATAAATCAATAATTCAATAAATCAATTAATCAATAAAGCAATAAATTAATAAATCAATAAATCAATAAATCAATAAAGCAGTAAATCAATAAATCAATAAATCAGAAAATCAATAAATCAATAAATCATCAAAGATAAAAGAAATCACAAAAAAATAACAAAAATAAATATCAGATATGAGTAAACACCATGGTTTTCCTGTCTTCCTGCGCCTTTACCAGCCGAGCTAAGGGAGGCCTGTTTACACGAGCATCCCTACTTCGTTTTTCTCAATTTTCATGTTTTGCTCATCTGCTTCTTCGCGTCCCACCCACACTTCCAATTAGAATCGAACCGTTTCCCATTCGAATCGGTTCCAACTCACCGCTCACCGAGCATCTCACGCATTCGCACCTGACAGCTGTCACCCGAGCGGGGGATGTTTTTTGTTTTCGCGACCATATTTGTTATGGCAGCAGGATTTGTTGCTCCGTGAAAAACGTTGATCTTTCCACCAAAATGGAACTTTCCCGCGACGAAAGTGAGCGCCAGCTGTAGATCGGGGTGTGTGCCATTGTTTGCCGCCAGTGTTTTCCACAGTGTGGTGTTTGCTACCGGAAGAGAAGCTTTTTTCACTCGGGCCGATTCTCGTCGCCATTACTGCCTTCAGGGGACAAAAGACGGGTAGTAAAGAAGCGTCAGCAACAACAACAACAAGAACAACATTGTCATCGGGGCACAGCTCCAGACTTTGAAGACGCACAGTAATTCGTGTTCGTTCGGTACTGGTGGAAACGTGGGCTTGGGTGGTGTATGATATCTTTTATTCAGTACACGCTGAGTATCATGAGCAATCTAAGCAATAGCCACAATAGCAACACTGGAAGCAGCCAAAATTCTGCTGCCGAGGGCACAATGGAACGGGGAAGGTGAGTTGAGTGAGAATTTGTTATTTTTTTTTATATCGTCAATGGCCTTCGCCTTAACTTTCTCACCATCTCATTCAGCTTCTCAATAATTATTGGTGATGTTTACATTGTGAGGTGGTGAGCTGGTTTTGAGAGTTTGTTTATGTTTTTTGTTGATATCGGTGCCGAATGAAATGATAAAAACACAGTTTGAAGAGTGAATAAATGAGGTCAGCAGGTGATTGCTAGAGAAGCGAATTAAAAAGTTTGCGTGGCTTTGTAGTTTAATTTTTTTAAATTTATTCAGCATTGTATGCAAAACTCTGGAAATTTATTCAGTAGCTGATTTTTGGCAATGATAGTTTTTAATCGCTATGTTTTATTTTAATAGAGATTAAACATTTTGAAATCATAATAGAACTGTGGAACTATTTCCCATCGAACGTGTTTTGTTTGTCCTTGAAATCACTTCCGGAATTGATCCTTTATAATAAGATCTTCTGTAAAGAGAATGCCATCGGAATGTAGAATGGAATCTAGGAAACCAACTGAGTTTAGAATACATTAATTTTAAAATAAGGAACACATTTTAATAAATTCTAGAAAATACTAGCTTATCAGAGTTCGTTAGAAATGATATACTAATATCAACATGAAGCTTTAGTGTGATAATTTATTAACTGGAGAAAGTTTTGAAAAGGATAGGTTGGTAGTTCCGCAAGAGTACGGCAGTTTGAAAATTGAATAGAAGTTGAAATTGAGCGAAGGGCTATTAATGCGACAATAATATTCAAACGCACACTGTATGGGTTAAGTAAAGGAAATTGGGGATCTTTGGAGATAATTTTACAGATACTTAAGGAAGATTCCATAAGGATAGTATGGAGAATAATTCACTCAAATCAGGCTGGGAATCTAAAACCACAACCCCAACATGTATTCTTATATTTTTTATTAATATCCCTGCTTATATGATGGAAATGGAAAAGCATTTTCGATGCAGCTAGCCGCTTTAACTGTTCTATATGTGCTATAGTAAAGAATAAATAAAATCTATTAGCTGTATTTTCAAATTCTTCTAAAAAAGTCAAAATGATTAACTCGTCTGATGTATATCTTATTCACTGAGATACCTATTCATCATGTTAAAACCACTTCTAATAGGAACCCCTGCGAAGGCAAACAAGTCTAGCTCAGCAAAATGCTCTGCATGATAATTTCAACTGTATAATTGATGTTATTTCCCCTTTCAGTTGCATTCTGGTCCGATATGCCAGCCAGAACTCCCTGGATGAGAGTTCCCAAAAGCAGCTGCCGAGGTCTAATGGAAAAGACAAAACAGCCGGAGGAGCCTACCGCAACAATGTGCACACGCAGCGATCGTTTGAAGCCATGAATAATATGCGAGAGTAATTACCGATTACCATAACTCCCACGAAAAATTTCACAACAATAACCGATTATCACATACCTGCTTTCTCCTTCCTCCGCAGACAAAATCTACTATGCGATGTGATACTGGTAGCCGATGGCATCGAGATACCAGCGCACAAGATGGTGCTAGCTTCGTGCAGTCCGTACTTTTACGCCATGTTTACCGGGTTCGAGGAAAGCCGCCAGGATAGGATCACCCTGCAAGGTGTCGACCATCGAGCGCTGCAACTGCTAATCGAGTACGTGTACACGTCGGTCGTGGAAGTTACCGAGGATAACGTGCAGGTCCTGCTGACGGCGGCCAACCTGCTGCAGCTGACCGATGTGCGTGATGCTTGCTGTGATTACCTGCAAACCCAGCTGGATCCGAGCAATTGTTTGGGAATCCGGGACTTTGCCGACATCCACGGATGCATCGATCTGTTGAACTACGCCGAGACGTACATTGAGCAGCATTTTTCGTGAGTAGCCTTTGCAGGAGGGGGATTTGTAGGCCAAGAGGTTTAATTTCGGTATTTTTGTGCTTCAGGGAGGTTGTTCAGTTTGACGAATTTTTGAATCTCACCAGCGAACAAGTTGTCAATTTGATTAAAAGTGATCGGCTGTCGGTGCCCTCGGAGGAGAAGGTATGTATTTATTATAAAGGAATTTTATCCTTAGAACTGTGATACCGAGTATGCGGCGAAAATGAGGATACAATGTGTGGGAATAATATAAGTATATAAGAAAAAATATTGAAAGAGTGACAACATAGTATTGTTTCGAACGTTTATTGGTGTATTTAGAACTAAGCGTGCATTAGCTGAGTGGAGTAAAATTTGCGTTGGAATGAGAGAGATAACAAGTACTTCTCTTCCTCTCGTACCATCGCAAAATCTCGCCCCGCGGGTGGAAATATCGCTCAGGACGGAATTCTCGCGTAACATTTCAAAAAGTCCTAAGTAACAAATGTAAAAATCGAGTTACTCGATACAAACTATTGCTCTTCTATCACTGCATTTATTACAAAATCACCCATCAAAATTTACATTCTTTTATTTAAAACAATCATAGGTCCAAAATTGTCCAATGAAATGATGGGCACGTGATTGTTACTTCGGATATTTCGACTGCCTAACATGATTGATGCTCATTTTCTAAAGGTGGGGCATGAAAAACCATTTTAGGGTGAGGTATTCTAACCTGAAATCTGTGAAAGAGAATCTAGTATCATGTAGAACAAAACGTCCAATGTAACACTCATTGATTATGTCATTGAGAAAAATCACCCAATGTAACATGTCCGATGTACAACTTGACTATTCAAAACATCCTATGTGTTTTTTATTCCATATTGTTGCATGAAATTCATAATAAAATTGTGATACATGGAAATATGGAACATGTAACGAAATTATGAAAGATTTTGAACGTTAATAACTCAGCTGCCCCTGAACCAATTTCAATAATATTATCACCAATCGATCAGAAATATTTCTAGCAATGCTTCCAACTGATGATGATTCCAACAAGAAACTATTGAAAAAGTTGTAAATGTCCAGCATTGTCCAAAAGCGTTGAAATAACTAACAAATACACCAATTAGGGGAAATGAATAATAGCAGATTTTTAGCAATGGGCCCAATCTTAGATCCATAGGCCAACATTAGAGCCATATCCCCTACGTACATGCATATTGTATATGCTGCTTTCCCAACACTGTCATCAGAGAGTGGTTATTAGACGAAACAAGTCGAAGGGGCATTCGCCTCCGATCTTCGGGCGTGTGCAAATAGGGAGGATGCAATTGCGTAAAATTTTCCACACTCATCGCCTTATTCAGAACCACACGCCCCCAACGACCACACAAAATGCTCTCCAGAGTTGTAAATTTTTAACCAAACTTGGAAGTAGGGGTGCAAGTGATTTAGATCGATTCTCTTCTACGACTTTCTGTTTCGTTAATAACTCGACGGCAAACACATTAATTGATAAGTTTTGTTGTTCTGGATGATAGAAGAGAATAGCAGAAATAGTGCGAGATAGATCAGTAAAGCCATGGTCATCAAAAGAGGAAATTGATGAATAGAATTGACTTTCATCCCTTTGCTTCTAAGCCCTTTAATTCAGTCGTCGTCATAGCAATGAAAACTAGCATCGCACCGCTTTCGGTTCTTGGGTTACACTTGCTGGTTGCAATTCTGCTGTTCGATATTTTCGAAGAACCACCTGAAATTACACTATTTTCTAGGGATGTCTAAAAGTCCAATTAATCGAATAACGATTAATTGTAAAGATGTTGTCTAGCTATTCGATTAAATACTTATCGTATTTTAAATTATTCGAGCGCGTAACTGACATACCTTCTTATTTCTACTCGTTTGATTTAGCACAGTAGAGAAAATAAAAAGAAGTACTAATTTATCTGAACATGCATAGAGAAGAACCATGACGTGAAATAGGATCATAAATTCGCCGAAAAAAGTGTTAAGCGTCTTTCTGTGTTAAGGCTAATGCCTTGTTCAGACTACAGAGTTATAACATGTTATAGCGCTATCTTGATGGTGGTTTCTGTGTTGCAATTAGTTGACAACCGTTATAACATGTTATAACTCTCCAGTCTGGACAGCGTTTAAGATTTACCAAATTGGTGAGAAAAGGAGTTTAACGAGATAAACTAAAAAGGAGAAGAGCTTTAGCTGCATGGAGACTGATATTCTGCGACCTTTCAACCTGTCGCAGACACCAGTTCAACCCCTGTCCAGCAGCAGACGGGCCGAGTCTCCTGCGAGTGCCCAACCATTGAACCGAATAATATGGGATTATTCGGTCCGATTTGCTGATCCAGCTGGCTACACGTCATAATCATCTTCCAAAGGCCTGGTGGCCCTGCCTTTTGCAGGGCCACCAAGATTTTTCAAAAGAGTTAAGATGTCCCAACTAAAATTCATACCAAAAGGTTCTTTTCAGGGCAATCATAGTCATACTAAAGAGTATAAACAGAGAACCTTGCACAAATTCCTTTTTCTACACAAAACACAAGCTCCTGCTGCAGTTAACAAATAACATTTATTATATAAGACCACGTTCAACCTCATAGGGCTGTCCCTTGTAGTTTTTCAATTTTAGCACCATTTTTTTCATTGAAATTTTTCTAGTATTTTGGAACCAACTGCATCAAACTTTGATTTCATTTCGTATCTTAGGAGGAAAAATTTGACAGCGCAAATTTGGAGTTTTATGCATACAGTTTAAAGCAGCAACATTTTGCAACATGTGTCCTTAGGTTGCTCTTATTGGCGAATCAAAGCAAAGTCAAAACTGGTCATGCGACACCTAGTTTTTAGATCCGCAATTACAAAAATGGTGATGTTCTAAAAAAAATTATCATGCAATTTGACAGATATCAAAACGTCATTACCATTTTCACCCACTCGCCATCTGTGAGTCAATCGTCACTTTGATTCATCAATACGCCTTTAACCATTTCATTTTTACAAGCGTTGAAAGATGAGTGGTCAACACACAAGGGCTTAGTACTCTCAACGTCCATGGTTCGGTTCCCGTCTGCTCCGATTTATTAATTTGTTGTCAACATTATTTTTCGTAAGACAAATCAATGATATTCATACCGATTTCTTGAGGCTAAAATTCATAAGTGTTTATTATGAAATTCTTACCTTAATTTCCGCTGTGTTGAAAAAATCAAAATAAATATTTTTTTAAGTTCTAACATGACTAGCATGTTGAAACGATATTTTTTTTTGTTAAATGCAGTGCTTTATGACATTCAAAATGGTAAATTTTGTGAAGAGCTTTGAGTGTGGGGGTTTATTTCCTTTAAATATATAAGCGTTATAATTGCTTATCTTTTGACAGATACGCGTATTTCGTCTACTACTTGTAGACTTCATCAGTGCCAAGTACTCAACACCACACTGACATGACTGAATGACAGTTCGACAGGTTCGACAATTCTAAAAGATTGGGTAAATTTTGACTTTTATACGACTGTATGTTAATAGTACGTAGCTGCTCCTTTGTTCTCAACCAGTTCAAACAACCTATTCAGCATGCTTTCAACCAAGCTGCGGCACGTAGATTCTTGAGTTCCGTTCCACGCTGTAAAGACTGCCCGTTTGAGCTCTTCAACATTTCTGTACTGCTTGTTGTCTGCATATACTTTTCGTACAATCAATCTCCACATATTCTCGATTGGATTCTGATCTGGAGAACAAGCTGGCCATTCCATAATCTGAATGCCATGGTTATCGAACCACGCCATGGTCGCTCGGCGTTTGTGAACTGAAGCGTTATCTTGTTGGAATGTCCAGTCAACTTGATGGTTTTGTTGTATGAATGGTAGCAAATGGTTTTGAAGAAACTCGATGTACTCCTGACTTTTCATTCGTGTTGAAGGAAAAGCAACCTTCACCAATCCACTCTCACAAAATGCTACCCAAACCATCAAACTACCACCACCAAAGTTGCGAGTGGAAAAATAACTTTGCTCTTTCCGTTAATCCCTCCAGTAAGAAAAAATACCATCTGGTCCATCCTGATTAAAGCCCGATTCAAAGTTAATTTGAACGCATTCAAGTGATCATAACTCAAGAATTAAACGATTGATTAAAACGTCAAACAAAAGGGTATTTTTTTTTATTCAGCTTTCAAACGATATATAACAAGTTATTACATTTCACAGTTTCGAACGAACTGACGCACTTTACTTGTGATCGATGCCATCATGATCTGCACAGTCGCTGGTGACACTGTACCGGCGAACTTATTACACTTTAAACGCATTTGTTGTGATACTTCTTTAACGCATCCTCGAAGTTTTCGCTTGACAATTGCCCAATATTTTTCGATCGGTCTGAACTCAGGGCAATTCGGAGGATTACCGTGGAGACACCATATTTAACGCAGGTCCATATTTGACGAACTTTTAAATTAAATCCATGATTATTCGAATTTCACGCAGAATTATACCTTCAAATAAATCGAAGTATTTTTATTTACGTTTATTCTTCACACTCGTAAAACCAAATTGTCTGTTGATCTTAAGTAACGTCAAAATAAAAGTAAAAGAAAAACATCGTCTGTCAAGTGCGTCAATTTTCATCTTCCTTAACAAAGGAGCTAAGAAACGAGTTGTACAATTTTTATTAGTTTGCATATAAAAATCAGTTTTTTAGTGCTAAAAAACATCTGTAACTGTAAGAACGTATGTATTACTAGTGATCTGATGCTTACAATGTTACTTATTTATGTTTTAATCAAATTTTTTGACCGAATACTTTGCGTCAATTTAGGCTCATACAGTTCCTAATTATTTTCAGAACGAAAACATGGGATCCGAAATTAAATCCGATAAAAAGTACATAGTCTACACCGAAGCTGAGCTTGGAAAAGCTGTTGACATGGCACGTAGAGGTGTATCTATCCACCAATCAGCGAATTCTTTTGGCGTTCCAGAGGCCACTGTTCGGCAGAAGCTGAAACAATCAAAGCAGCGTTCACAGGGGAAGCCAACGATTTTGGCTGCGGAAGAGGAAAGGACTATAATCGACTGGATTCGTTTTGCTGCTAAAGCGGGCTTTCCGGTTGATGCCCAAAAATTGAAAACATCTGTTGGATACTTTCT